AATATTTTTAATTATGGTAAAACTTTTAAATGAAAATATAAATGAAATGTTCGTGGAATTCTTAAGTCTATTTTTCTAAATTGTCCAAGTTATTTTAATCTAAATTCCACATCAATATTATACAAATTATAGATAATAGTAATTTTAACAACAATTAATATGGTTTAGTTATGTATAGAATTAACTTAAAATAATTAATAAAGTACATCCACCATTTTAATTAAGATATTTACTAATTGCTAACAGTGCTAAAATATCATTTCCTATTATAGTAATGCATTATATCAAATATTTATTGTTTTGCCCATAAATTCTTATTTTATTTAAAACCCAATATTTATGAAAGTTTTTAAAATTAGCAATATACAAATAAAAATACATTAATTACCACCAATAAATCTATCAGTAATTTAGGACAAGTTTTATGGCCATTACTGGCCAAATGCAGGGGCGAGTGTTGGCCCGTCAGGTGTTTATAATTAATGTATTAAAACAAAACATTAAAAAATTTTTGTATTTATAATTGCAAACATAAAAATAGTAAAACACAATTAATAATTACATTTATTATATTGGGTCAATCGATATATCTTAGTCTTTCGATATTTCTAATGTAGGTAGAAATGTGAAATTAATTTTATAATTTAAGTTGACATCTCTAGGTACCTGAATCCAAGTTTCATCAAGATCTGATGAATAGTTTAAGAATAGGAATTTTTTAAAGTTTGTCGGTCAGAATTATTTTGAAAAATTTACAACAAAATATTTGACTAAAAATGATCTCATTTTTAAAGTGAAAATATTTTTACAATAGACATGTTTGGAGTTATTATTTAGTTATTGGTGTTCACTATTGGTTATCCGACAACAGTTTAGAGCAGTTATCACAACATTATTTATAACGGGAATCAAATGCGAACCGACCGAACACAGGCCGCCAATCGGTATTTATTGGTGTTCACTATTGGTTATCCGACAACAGTTTAGAGCAGTTATCACAACATTATTTATAACGGGAATCAAATGCGAACCGACCGAACACAGGCCGCCAATCGGGTCGACTACCGATAATTAAATAGTCACAGTTCAGGCACCGGACAGAATTGATCATTGAATATGATATGGATGTATACATAAGATATTGACAATATTGGAAGAGTAAGGGTTTTCTGATATTTCTATTATTGTTTGAGCATGATCAATTAATTCACGATTTCAGGCGTCGGTAATCACAAAAACAGTCCCCTTCCCATAGGAATACATTATTCTGCCTGACTTCGTTTAAAAATTTCCAGCACAAACACCAATGATCCGATCTTTATGAAACTTGGTTTCTGGTGCCTAGGAATGTTAACCTAAATTACAAAATTAATTTCACATTTCTACCTACATTATAAATATCGAAAGACTAAGATATATCAGTTATGCCAATATTTAACTACTTTTATTTAAAAATTGAATTACAATTATTTTAAATATATAATAATTTTTTCTAAAAATAAATAATTAATACTTTATTATGAATAATAATGAATAATTTGTTACACTAGATAAAACACATCAAATAATTGACCAAGATTATTAAACTATTCCTGTCCACTACAAACATAATGTTATATAATTACTATTGGGGTCAAAGCCCCGCCGGTTGACTATTAATCAGACCCAACTGTCCCGTCAATGGGGCTGATTTTTATTGTAGATAAACTGTACACTAAAATATAATTAATTATATAAATAATATAAGTACATTAATTTGCTAGTTATATGGTTTTTGCAAACATGTCAGATTTTATTAAACTAAACTATTTAATTTTATAGCAAATTATAAAATTATTTTTATATTTATTAAACTGTACATTAAACCATATTGCTTTAAATAAATAATATGTTAAGTTTGGTCAATTTTATTATGGAAATCAATTGTAGCAAAAAATTTTATAAAACTAATAATTTTTAAATTAACATTTTAAACACAATTTATAATATGGATATCCAACACACCTATCCTGTCGATTACAAACATACTAACACATAACACTACCCGGTGCTCATCGGCCGGAGACCGACCCACCCGACCCACTGACAAACCCTGAGGACCTTAATTAGTTAATCTGTTCTATGGAGTTCAATAGTCAATGACAATTGTTCTATGGGCTTTTGATTAGACAAGAGTAATTTTTAAAATAAATTATAATATTATTATTATCTAGATATCATTGTTAACGTGTATAAAAAATTATAATTTTTTTTAATTAATAGTAAAGTAAACTAGTTAATCTGTTTATGAAAAAATTGGAACTTTTCTTAAACTACTACTAAATAACTAAAATATTATTTTAACCATAATTAGAAAGTAATAGAATTTATATAGAATGAAAAGTTTGCTATATACCAATATTCTATAATTTAACGTTTTATACCTGTCTGTTATGATAGTTTATTGTTAACTTTACAGTATTGAATGATTTTCAATCCACATATTTAATAATACCCAATAATATTTAGCACTATTATAAATTTTAAATACAGCATTTTAACTTAAACACAAAACTAATTTTGATAATTAATTTTGCAAGTAACCTTGGTTAATGTCCGCCGTCTCGTACTTCCAATTGGACGGTCTGTTGCGGTACTGTAGCCGCCGGTGCTGTGACTGCATTGGCATCATTTTAGTTTTTGACGTAGATAGTTTTTGTATATTAAATATTTTATAAATGTATTCTATACTGTATTGTTGTAATTATAGAATTTGTGCTTATATTTTTAATGTAGCATAATTAATTTTATTATGATTAAGATTTTTTTATTACGGTATTTAATTATAGTATTTTTGTTAAATGATTTTTATTTTATAAACACGATAAATAACTTTTTATTTTCTAACTTATATATTTTATACTCATATAACTTGTTTTATTTATTAATTAGCATTGTTTTTAAATCATGTAATGTTTTATAATTTATTAATAAACAAACTTGTAAGACAAAGTAATTAATTGCTACATAATTCACACCGCTTAAATTTAAGTTACCTTTTATTATAACTTGTTATATTTAATAGTAATTAAAAATATCAAACCTACAGTACTAATTGTAAACAAAATTCATTATGATAAGTTACACAAGAAAATATCCATTGACTACAATTTAATTATGTTTATAAAATACTTTATCATAAATAATGAAATGTATTAATTCAAACAAGATTATTTCACTGAATTGACCAACATTAATAACTATACATACAGATAGATAGCGTACAACTAGCCATAACAACTGTTGTACAGTTTATATCACACATACAATGTTTTAACTGCCATACAAAGCAAGTGCTGACAAATTTTTTACCTAACCATACATTTTGTGTGTGCATTGCTATTGCCATAGGGTTTGCAATACAGTATACCATCACTGCATGTATTATTCACCACCAGTTTTATGCTGTAGTTTTTTTCCAACCCATGCATTAATAATTGAGCTTTTTATAATATATTACTGTATATTTGTAATAACGTTTATTAATAACCAACGTGTAATTGATAAAAATATACTTACGTATATTCACTTAAAATTACCATCATTATAATAATTTGTGTGTTTTGTTTGCGCCGGATTAAATCACCACGAACATTAGTCGGTGCAATTTTGCTAATACATTAATTGTGCGCAAACATTATATATTTAACTAGCTGAATTAATATTTTATTATTAATGAACTAGTGTTAGTTTGTTTAATACGGTATGTACAATATATGTCTCATTATTAATAGCACGTAATTTATTAAACGAGATAGACTTTTTATAAATTACATATACATATACTCGTATATTATTAATAATAAATAAATATCACATACATCATTGTGTTTAATTAAATACAAATATACTTAAATAGTGATTTAATCTAGCTAAGTGTGCGATTGTGTGCCCTGTGTGTATTTTTATTATTATTTTGTTATCATAATCACTTTACGGTATTAATCAAGGTAATTTTGCTGTTGTAAATGTCATTTATTACAAACTAACATGGCTATTTATTTTTAATATATCTATTATGTTGTTGTTATTTTTCAATTAGTCATTCATATTGAATAGCAATGTAATAATATAGCTATTGAATAACATACATGTCATTTTGTTTACGCGTTATACAGTGTACGTCCGGGTGAATAGTGTACGTGATAAATAAATTAGCTTATTGGTTATTATAACGAGTTTAATTTAGTCATCAGACATAGTGAAATAAAAATCACTGTATAATATAGTTGATAGCGTTGTTAATTAGTACAACTTGTACTGTACAACTAACTAGGGTGTTTAAAATATTAATTTACCATAACGTACTAAATACCTAAATAACATAACAGTACGTGTAGTGGAATAATATTAACTAACACTAATTGCTATCAAGTACTAAAAATATTTTTGTAATTTACCTAGGTATAATAAATGGATCAAAAAACGGGACAACCAATGGAACCGCCGCCCCCGTACTCGGCACAGCCTGGAATGCCCGGCCACGCGATGCCACCGCCCGCCGGCTTTATGCCCGGTGGCCAACCGGCCACCATATACCCGGCCCAACCAGGTATATCACATCTACCCCCTCCCCCACCCCTGCCCCTAACCTAAACTAATGCCATTAACGCCCATGTCCGTTTTTTACTGGGGTTTGTAACCTCGTGTGGCTTATCTATCAAATGTATGATTCATTTTAGTGTTGTTGATATTGATTGATGATAGGGCTTATACAGTGCACTAAATTATTTGAGCGTATTACATATATTTTACATTGGGTTTACTAATTATTATGTGATTTATGTGTTGGGTATATTCGTACTAAATAGCCCAGTTGTAAATAGTGTCCTGGTTGTTTTTATTGTAGTGTTTTATACTGTACGATACAAGGAAATTGTGTATTGGTAATGTTTTTAAATCATGTGACACGCTATTTAATCATTAGTTTATTATTTCTAAATGGTTATTAAAATTTTATTATTTATATTATGTTGTTTGTTATATAATATGATTGTATTATTGTAGTAAGGGTTGGATAGGGCTGGTTTACAGGGGGTTGTGGTGTCTAGTATTGAAATTGATATGTTATTTAATTTTTTATTTGAAACATGGTTGAAAAACAGGGAGAAATGATTTTTAAACCTAGTGTTATTTGTAATAAAAATTCAATTTACTTATTTTAGAAATGTTGCCTATTTTTAGACACAAAATGAGATTTTTCTAAATAGTTTTGAGCACTTATTTTGTTGAAAAATTGAATTTTATTATTATTTTTTAAATATTTTATTTATCACAAAATTTATACCATGTTTTATAAATATTTATTGCATTTATTCTAACCCATAATCAAAGTGTTAGTTCAATACTAAATTAATGCAAATAATTAGTACCAAAAATCATATAAATTTATACATTATTTTTGTCGAGTTTTCGGATAGAGATTAAAGTTTTGAATTAATTATCAATTAATTTGTAAATCAATTTATCAGTTGAAATGATTAGCACTTTTTGTTGTCCTCTTTCAATACAAAACTAGTGGAAAAATACAGTCTACTGTCGATATAATCAACCGGATTACACACACAATACAATCGACAGTCTGTTTACATAATATATAAAGTAATTTTCAAATTCAATAAACCCAACAGAAAAGTCAACATAAAAAATTTGATAAACACGTATATCACGATTGTTTACCTAAATCTATTAAATGCCATCAAAATATATATCACTTTAGCTTTAATACCATAATTGTTTCTTACATGAAAACACTTTACAAATTTATTATTGGTGTTAAAACACACATAAAAACAAACATAATTTGATAGCAATTACTTTCCCTTCACTCAAAAGAAAAACCACTCAAAAACACACGACTCTAATCAATAGTGAAATATCATGTATATAATGATAATCCTATGGAAATCCTATCGATATGTATTTAATATATAGTTTACTTGCAAATAAAGTGTACTGTTATATGATATTCAAGGATTAGTTAAAAATAAATGCGCTTATAGGGTTTTGCAATTTTAATCAATATTTATCTACATTCATTTACAATGTTAATAATTGAATTAACCCCGGTGTTATTATTATCACCATGGGCCTTGGTTATATTACAAATAGTGTAATTAGTTTTAAATTGAAATATTAATTATTTATTGGCGAGATTTAGAGAGAGAGAGAGAGAGAGAGAGAGAGAGAGGG